AAAATGTTGCTCTTCTGGCAGCTTTCTTCAGTCAAATTTCTTTGCATCCACTTCCCTTCTTATTATTTTGAAGTGGAAATCCCATGGCTGTAAACTTGAAAACACATTATATCAAGTCAAATCATGACTGTAGTTACTGGATTTTTCTAGTTCTGGTGTTTCAGTATCTAATTTAAACTTCATGTCTCACTTTCTGCTTGATCCAAAATTTTCTCACCAGAAAGGAAGGCAGAAAACTAGTTAGCTTTGCCTACTTTATTTTCATTTCAAAATAAAATGATTCAGGGAAAAAGAAAAAAAGAAAGAACAGTATGCCCATTTTCCTTTTTTCCAGTTAAGAGTGTAGTGCAATGCCCATTTCTAGATATCTGATTTGAGTCTACAGATGGTGATTCAAAAGCACTCACACAAAGAGCCTCTACTGACTGCATGTCAATGGTGCTCAGGTATGAAACAGAGATCCAAGAATAGAGGGACTGCACACCAAAATATGTCACTAGCCCATCTATCCAACTTTCAATTTCCAGTAGTAGCCATATCAGATCCTTCAGCTGATTCTTATCAAAACACAGGAAATCCTGAGGTAAATTGTTGGGAAAAAAATTATGTAGCAACAAGAGTTTCTTAATTAATCTTCAATTAATATTGAGGGTTTGGATAGCTTTATCTTTTAAATCTTAGCTTTAGGTGCTGAGTACTTACATGAAGTTGTTACATGTTCAGCCTTATGTGGGTTTAGCAAGCTTTTCTAAAAAATACGCAACAGTGTGTTCAAAGAGCCCATTGTACATTCTCTGAAAAGGATTTCATTTTATTAACATAAAACTCATTTCATTCCAGATTCTGTGTACAACTTGTTCAGGCTCCTTTCAGGACCATCAGTCTCTGTCAGTCTGTAAAGGCTGAAAATCTTATCTTTGTGAAAGCTGGAGTGCAGGTAAGTACAGGGCTGTTTCATAATCAGGTCACAAAGTACCTATGCTTTGTTTGTGGGTTTGTTTTTATTATTTCTGAAGGGTTTTGCTCTTTTCAAAAGAAATTATTCTAGTGCTGTCAAGGCAGAACCATGTTCTCAATTTTATTACCCTTCCAACTATTAGAGAATTTGAGGATTCAGCAATATTTCTTTTCTTCCAGCTTTCACGGTTGTTCATTCTGTGGAGGTTGTTTATGAACGAAGAACAGTTATAAAAGGAGGCTGATAAAGCCTCACTAAAATCATTATCAGCAACTACTCCCCGGATTTGGGAGTACAATAAATGAATAGAGTATTCTGTACTTGAATGCTGCTCATCTTATATAATGAATAAGCTTTCACCAAAGTGCCAAAACTTCTCCCCTGAATATTAGTCAGTCTTAAGATGTATCAAAATTTAAAATAACTTATTCAACAGACACATTACTTGTTCTGATTTGTTTAAAGCACATTTGTATGAAATGTAAAATGTGACTTCTGTTGAGCTATACTTATCCTCCCCTGCATGAGATTTTAATGGTTGTTTTAGGATTAAAAATTAATTCATGGTCCCTGGACTAAATTCTGATCTCACATTTCACCAATGTCAAGCCTTACCTGGCAAAGAATGAAGTGTCTCTGGGTTATATCAGTATAAGTAGGTGTTCAAATTTGGGGCCCAAGTTACTATGACAATAATTTCTTTTTACTCTGCAAATGTTTATAGACAGTTTCTAATGTTTTTGGTTCATATTTTCTACGTTTGATCCAAAGTAAAATGTAATAATTTCACTAAAAAACCACACATTTTGAGACAAACACAAAAATTTACTTCTCTACTCAAAGATTTGCATTCAGAAGTATCTTCATTTTAACAGGACAGCAAGCTTCTACCAACAACAACAACAAAAAAATATTTTGCCAGGCTAAACAGTGGCTGCGCAGCTCCCACTGAAATGCTACAGCAGTTAGTTGCACAGGCAAAGACTATTGTGCTCCTCTGAAATCTTTAGGCTTAAAGCTACTAGTTTTTATTGACAATTCTACTTCCATCAGTCTTGCTAACAGTGAACTGAAAATATTTTTCCATATTCTTGATTTTTTCCATACTGTTTATTTTCTCATCAGTTTTGCCACATACGAACACAATTATAGCAAAGAACACAATTACAGGAATTAAAAAAAATTTTTTTTTCCAAGATTCATGAAACTTCATCATAAAAACAAGGTTTTTATAATTAAACATTTTTGGGAAAATTTATGTTAACTTTTTTTTGTGTTCATTAGTAGGAGTAGTGAGTATGTTAATCTTTTTCTATGTTCATTAGTAGGAGTAGTGAGTGAGTTTATTCAGTTTGACTCAGTTTACTACAATGTCTGCATTTTACTTGTGGCAAAACAAAATAGTTTTGCTTTCCTTTTTTGATGGACTATATGTATTTTCACACAACGCCCACTAAAAAAATAGCATTTATCCTATATTTACTCAGATGAGGAAATTTAATTTATTTGGCATACATCATCAATCAAAAAGATTTGTGACACATTTCCAAAACTGCCTTGATAAAATATTCTCTGTAAACCTCAAGTATTACTTCAATCAGAAGTTATATTATTTTCCAATGTGTAAATATAAATCACAATGAGACTGCATCCTGAAACAGGGAAAAATGGGTGGCAAGGCAGTGGAACAGGTTGCCCAGAGAAATTGTGGATGCCCTATCCCTGAAAATGTTCTCAGCCAGGCTGGATGGGATTTTGAACAACCTCATCTACTAAAAGGTGTCCTAGTCCACAACAGGGGGATTGGAATTGTATGATCTTTGAGGTCCCTTCTGGCTCAAGCCATTCTGTGACTCTATATTTCTGAGATTAGATGAAAAAAAAGGATCAGATTAAATTATTTAGAGTTAAAACCCTGGATCCAGGTATCTTTAGCTTTGATATACTGGAGAGATCAGTCACAGTTTTTAACAGATCTCTTCTTAATTTTTGAACTAAAACCTGGAGTGGAATTTAGGCTCCTTGGGGTTGTTTGGGGTTTTTTTTGGTTGGGTTTTTTTTTTTTTTCCTTTGGGAAGTGGAAGTTGTATTACTTTATTTATATTCAAAAAATTGGATTAGGGATATAATAGAAAATTAAATGTCTTCAGTGATGAGGCATTTGTAATATAAGTAAATAATAGAGAAGAAAAGACAATGATATGACAGAGTACAAATCAGATATTTTGTAGAGTAATATACAGGGCAATGAGACATAGCTATTGTTCTTTTCGGCTTTATTTTTAACAGCTCTTTGTGGAAAGGCCTGGAGTTCCAGGTCACAGGGGAAAACCTCCTGTTTTAAAGAAAGCTTAAAATTGCAGATCTGAGTGCTTTATCATAGATCAATTCATATAATAAATCCTATATTATTTCTACCATCATTTAATGATGGGATTAAACATGGTGGCCTGGATGGTTCTTTGTCTCAAGAAGACCATAAATCATAAGTCTTTCAAACTAGGAAGAGGAACTATCCCTCCCCACAACCTGTGATTTTCACAGACATTTCATAGTCTCTGGCCCTCTGCTAGAGACAAGTTAGATAGACCTTTGATCTTATGCTCTATGAGTTTGTGCAGTCTTTGATTACCATTCTATGAAAGTTTAGCTTCAAATAGAGCCTGTTCTCACTGTGTCCTGATTCTTTGTCTATCATTCTTACTTTTCCTTACATTCCCTCATGTGTAGCAAAGAATACCACCTCGCATGGATTTTATCTAATACTGCTTCCTATGGGGGCTGGATGTGAATGGGGAATGGCATTTGATAATCTCTGACTCCATTGTAAATGAAATATAAATTAAAAGCAGCTGTTTCTTTTAAAGTGAAAGACACATCTGCATTAAATATAATACAACTTCATCTGGCTTGGGCTGCCAACACTTCAGTGAATGTCAAATAGAAGATTCATATGGTTTTAGTCCTGTCACTGAGTGCCATCCATTTTGCTAAGCCTTTTGATTTCTTTTCAGAAAGGTGGGAAGGAATTAATTTAAGTTGCCTTTAAATAGTTAAATAATGACTTTCCTTTCTTCCTCTTGTAAAGTAGGCAGCTTGATGAATTCGGATAGTGTAGTACTAAGGTTATCAATGAATAAGTAGTGTTGGCCTTTGATGGTGGGGACTCATGAACACTGGATTAATCAAACATAACAGAGTCTGTTGGGAACCAGGCAGCCCCAAACTCACAGATACTCCTGGGAAAGACCTTTTCTGGAGGTTGGCATGTGGATGTTGCAGCTGTGAAAGCTCAGCAGATGAGTGGCTACAGGTGTTGGCTTTGTTTTTACTCCACATATATTTGTACGAAAATGAGCATTGGTGCCAAGGACAAAGAAAGATTGAGCCAAGCTGTTATAAAGTAAAAAAATTTGCTTGTGACACAATACAATCTGTATTGCTTGTATGACAGCTATATGGTGTTCTTGAGAATTCTGTTTATGAATAATAATGGGGGTTCTGGCAGTGTTGGTGGCAGCACTCAATGGAGAGTTAAACAAAGGGCATTTTGTTTCACAGTCATATCTTCTGTAGTCAGGCATTTTGGATTTGTACAATCACAGTGTTTCCCTTCCTACTTTCATTTAGGTTCTTCCAGTCTCGTACACTTTTTTCCAGTGGTTTAAGCAAGATTATCTAGCAGAGTTTTAAATTAAATGTCCTTAAAATTACTCATTCAAGTGTGATTGATTAGGTTGCCAAAACTGGCTTCATCTTCTGATGGGTGAGGAGAAGGAAAGAAGAAAGGAATGAAAACAAAAAGAAAAAAGATGGAATGGAAAGCTGTCTAGAAGGACTTTCTGTACAAATATTTTATCTGTGGTGGAAATGAGGATAACCTTCTATCTTTACACTGTACTGATAAACTAGCGAAAGCCAAAAATTCAGTAGGTTGAAAGTGAATTCCTTTAAAACAAAACAAAACAAAAAAGTGACTTTTTCCAAATCAAATGTCTCTTATTATGGAGAATTACTCCAGAATTTTGAAATTGACCTGGAAAACTTTTACTTCCTGAACAAAATCTTGTGACAAGGAAAAAATTTATTTTTCTTTGTCCCTTTCCCTGCCATTTCTTCTCTGATCGTCTGTATCCTGGTGGAAAGAGAAAAAGAGAGGCATGGTGCAAATGTCTGATTGGCACAGAAGGAGTAGGTTGAAGGAGATGGTGCTCTGGAGAAGGGAGGGATCCCCTTCCCAGCCTGCTGACCTCCAAGATGGTGGTCATGCAGCAGAGCTGGGATTTTGATATCCATTAGATGCTCAGCTGGTGCTGCCCCTTTCCTGGGATCCTGAAAAGTAAAACCTCATTGAAAGACAAAATATTATCCTCACTGGTACAATTTCAAACTATTTCTCATTCTTTCTGGACCACTTCCCTACTTGTTCACTTTACATTTTTAGACTGGATCTTAGAAAAAGCCCCAAAATAGCTCATCAAAATCACATGTCATATGCAGGAGACTGATTTATGAAGAATACTTTCTTCAGAGAATTTGGTGGAAGTTGCATTCCTTTGCAGACTTTTTCTGTAAGGAAACAGACAATACAAACTGTGAAAAATTGAGTACCTTTCCAATCCATTTTTCTATTCATGAACACAGATCTTTTCTTAAAAAAAAAAGTCCTGGACCACAAAGAGGATAATTCTGCCCAAAAAATAACCCCCATCTGTCTATAGATATTTAGATATGGAATATACATATTATACATATTACACGTACATGCAATTTGCTATTTCTTCCCAGAGAGAACAATATTTTACTTGCATGTTTAATAGGCCTGTTTAAGTAACATTGAACAAAATAATTACAGGATTTATGGGATTTGCCACACTAATGTGAGCTATACCTGATTTTGGATTTGAGGAGGGACAGTATCTTACACTTCTCAACAAGAAAAGAAAAGAAACCACAAATACAGAGTAATCTACCTATCGGCACTGATTTTCCTCCTAACCTAGCAATATACTTGGACTCTGAAGCACATATATTAGTGTAACTTGCGGATTTGAAATTATGACTGCTCAGGAGATACTTATTTCCAGGAAGAAAATATTTCATATGGCAACATTCTTACTGAGGACCAGTTGGAGCTCCTCAGTTAGGTTCTGAGTACAGTTAGGTCTCGTTTATTCTTTATCCCACCCTGGTAAAGCAGTGATCCTTCAAGGATATTTTTTATGGAGAGGGAGGTTGTTGGCTGTACACATACAGAACTTTTTGGTGTTTGTTTGGAAATCAAATCAATCTAACTTATAGGAGTTGTCTATAAAGGCCTATACTTTTGACATCCAGTTTGACCTTTACTTCAGGCCTTTTTATTTTCTTGTATGAGTTCTCCTCATTACTAATAACTTGTCAGGTGATCATGCCGCAGATCAGCTTGGTAATCTCTCCTATTTTTCCCACTGCTTGGATAGAAACCCTAATAATTTTTCTATTGTCCTAAAGAAATGCCAAGTTCTCTTTGAATGTATATTCTCAGACTACATAGACTACAGTATTTGTTAACCAATTGGCAAAATTTTCCCTGGTGAAACTGAAAAGCAGCTTTATAGACTTTACTTGATTAATTCTTCTTTTTAACATAAACATAATTTCTGGTTAGCTCAATGTAAGGTGTTGTCCTGGTTTTACAAGGAAGTGAGTTTTCTCAGGAGGTTGGGGTCAAACTAGTCAGTGGTCAGATTTGGATACTGATGCTTGGAGTGACCACTGAAGGCATTGGACACGCCTTTGAGAACACAGGGGGTTAAAAGCAGAGAACTCCATGGGGAAGCTCTCTTTGGTTCTGGTCAGCAGAAGAGTTCAGACATCCCCTGCCCAGCCAGGCTGGGTCAGGGAGAGGAAGCCATGTGGCCTAGGAGAGGTAGGCCCAGAGTGTGAAGGGACTGGAACCGCGTTGGCTCCCACAGGACGGAAGGGTGGAAAGAAACTGAGATGTCTTTGTTCCCCCCAATCAGAGGGAGAGAGAGTGAGAGAGACAGAGACTGTGCGGCAGTACCATGGCAGACGAGAAAGTGAAGCAGGGGTGGGGGAAGATGGTGCCCGGCCGTGGGAGTTGGAGTTCTGGGAGCCAAGATTTCAGCCATCCTGGGAGTCTGAGACTTTTAAGCCCTTCTTGGACAATGAAAGCTTTGGACATTAATCTTCCTCGATCTGAAAGAGAAGAGAGATGATAGCCTGGAGCCCAAGATATCAGAAGAAGAGGGGGAAAGAATCCTAGGTGGAAGGAGATGATGGAGTGGCCTTGGCTGGACTTTTCTTGTATAGCCATAGGCTGAACCAATTTCTCCTGCAACACAGACTGCTTTCTTAGGGGGATGCAATGGTTGGAGCCAAGAGAGTGACCTGCTGCAGTGATGCCAGGAGAGAGACAGGAATGGAGTGAAGAGAGAAAAGTTGAGGAGGATATAGTGGTGCCCTCTGTCTTCAGGGAAGAAGAAGATCTCTGTTCTCAAGACCCTCAGCCCCAGGAGAGGAGAAAATGGGGGGGACTGTTGTCCCAAAAATGATAAACGGTTGGTCTTTTAGTCCTTGGCAAAGCATCCTTTAAGGAACCTTATGAGCAGTTTCAGTCCATGCACAGTGGTGAGAACACTGTGACATGGAAAGGAGGGTGTCACAATGGCAGATTTTCTCCAGGCAGTGCCATGTGTGACATGGAAACACAAGAGGTCGCAATGGTGTTTCCTGGGGAGGGGTCTATGGTGCAAGAGAGACTCCTCTCTCCCTTGATGGACTGAGTATTGATTATCTGAGGGGTGGTAACTTAATCAGGAATCCTGGTTTTGTCTCAACTAGCTTTGTTTTTTTGCTTTGGTTTTGTCTCAGTGTGGTTTATAGTCAGATGTTTGGAAATTGGGTGGGGGGAGGAGGAATGTTTTGGGAAGGTTTCATTCTGGATTCTCTGTGTCTCTTTTATTATAGTGGTAGGTTAATAAAGTTTTTTTTTTCCTTCATTTGTAAGCTCAAGCCTGCTCTGCTCTGTTCCTGATCGCATCTCACAGCACTCATCTGGGGAAGGTGTATTTTCATGGGGGCACTGGCATTGAGCCAGTGTCAAACCATGACAGGTGTGGAGCCAGTAATCTTTCCTCTTTGTGGTTCCATGACCGCCTGTTGAAGGAAGCAGAATAACTCTCCAGTCTCTGTTGAAGGAACTCTGTCTGCCATCCCCATCCCTGCTCCATTCAAGGTGTTGGGATGGGATTCCTGCCAGTGAGGTCACTGCCTCAGACAAATTTATCATGGGACTTGGATACAGTTGCCTGGCTCCTTGTCCTGGTCAGCCCTCATCAGGCCCTAAACAACCTGCTTCTGCTTGTTTCTCTTCAAATAGTTTTCCTTGGATAACTTGGACCCAACTAGATAACAACTCTGTCCCAATTTATTTCTTTACAATGTGTCATATTATTAACCATTTTTTTGTGTTTTGATTTGTATTAATTAGTACATCAAACCAGATTTCTGCTACTCAGAGTTTGCGTAATATGTGGGAAATAAGTTCTGAGAAAAGTAAGACACTTTCTGACAGGTGTTTTAAATTTTACATAGGTCAAGAAATTTCTCATTGCTCTAGGTTTTGCCTTTTGTTTTTTATAATCCTTTTTTAAAATCAGTTCTCGGTTGTGTCATCTATGCTTCAAAATCAGCAGACTATAAGCAACATATCTATTATTATGAAGCTCTGTTAGAAGCTGTGATCAAGCCGGTGGAGCACCCTGGGTGTAGAGCAGAGCTTCTGTACAGACCCACAGCACAGTGCTTATGCTTCATGAGGATGTGCCTCGGGCAGGCTGGAGCTCCATTCCATGGGAAACTGGCACACAAGACTGCTCAGCAGTTCCAGCTGTCCTACCTGTGTGAAACTGCTGAATCACCAAAGAAACATCAGTGGGATTCGTAGGAATAAATTTCATCTTATAACATAATGGGGACACCATCAGTGGACCCATTTCTGTTTTGATCAATAGCAGAGCTGTCACACATTGTACAGATGCTTTTTGAGATAGTTCTCTGTGTCATCCTCTCAGATGGCAGGATATGCATGCCATTTTTAGATCATATACATAAAGCATGTTATTTAGCATATGACAGGCAAAATTAAAATGTTAAGAACTGTGAAACTTGGTATAAACTTGAACATGTGTGATCAGTGAAATGTGGAAATTTGATATGTAAGATATTAGAAGCACTTATTTCCTTTTTTTAAAGTTTTAAGAAAATAAATTAAAAGGTGGAGAAAGGGATTGAATCACTAGCCTCTTGACCAGAAAACCATAAAAAGCTTTTGTATTTGTTGGTAGGCAAGTTATTGCCAGAACTTTTTATCATTAAGCCACACACTGAACAACCATATGTTTCCCAGCATTAAACCCTGAGGACTTTCTAAGAAAATGCAGGAAGGTTAATTCTGGTCTAATATTACATTCTAACAGGCCAGTTGTCCAGTCAAGAATTCATGCCTCTGCATAGCTTGGCTTGGCAATGTCTTTAAGTTTGTAGGTGAAAAACAGCCTTATTCTGTTTACTATGCCTTACATTGAACCTCTCCTACTGATACGGATAACCAGGAACGTCTACGGAATACAGTCTCTTTAATTATTTAGAGATTTTATGGGCCTTTAAATATAACATGTTGCTGCAAATAGTTATTCTTGGCTTGTCAGTGAAAATAAATATCTCTATATGTCTCTCTTGACTCCTTTTGGAATTCCTCTCCCACAGTACTGGACAGAAGTGTTCTCTCAGCCACGGCATACAAGAGTCAAGGAACATCCAGATTTTCATACAGAGAATATGGAAGTAGTCAACTGTTTGGAAACAGAACTAGATGTTTTGGTCCAGAAGAGAAATATGTTCTAGAGTACAATGATGCATTGCACATTTTTGTGTGTATATTCTTGAGAAATCAATTGCGTTACTGAGAATACGGCCATACCTTACATAAAGGGATACATGTTATGAATTCTAACAACGATCGTATTCAGAATCTCCACTGCCAGTGGAGTAGAGCACTACCACACAGAGCTTTGTTACAAAAGTAAACTGCAGACTTGATAGTGGATTCCTCATTCCGGGATATACTGACTATATTTATTTCATTGAAGAGATTAATGGAATGTTTAAACAGAGATTTTGCAACCTTCATCCTTGTTGGTAGATGCTTTTGTCTATCTGTCTTAACTTGAAGCATCATGTGTCTTTCAATGGAGCTACTTGACAGTTGACATTTTCTGCTTTTACTTCTACTCCAGCTGCTAATTGCATATTTACAATCCTTCAATCAAGAGGAAAAGAGAAACAGGTTAGAAAAATTTTCAGTCTGTCAAGCGAACCATACATATAATGAAACATCAACTCATTAAATATGGAGAACTTTTATGGCTTTAATAATAAGTGTTATAAAGGGCATAAAGGTATTATTAATTCTGAAGGGATTCAGGACTGGAAAAACAATAAGTCATTTTGACAGTTGCTATGAAGACTATTACCAAATGTTATGTTTACTTGAATAGATTCAATTTATAAAACAAGACCCATAAAAAATCTACAGCCTAATCAATTGAGATGCCCTGTTACAAACAACAGCTAATGGAGGAAGGTTCTGATATATTGATTAAAGACTGAATTGTCATCCTGGATTTTATAAAATTAAGATTATTGGTAATGTGTGCTGCTTCTGTACATTAATTAAATACTGTGGCAATTAATTTAATTACTATAATAAAAATTAACACTGTAAACGTTTTTTTCCTAAGTTAAGGAAGTGATTTTTTTCTGAATGTGTGATTATCCTTCTAAAAGGAATCCACAAATGTATGTTTATTATGTAAATATAGCAAGATAGAGGAGCTTTTGTTCCTGTGCTGTAATCACCGATTAATTCCTCCATATATCTCTCATGAAAATTAAATTTGGGGGACGTAATAAATTCTCCTTTGTTTCTGAGTGTGCTGGTTGCAATCCCGAACATAATCAAGCAAGCTGACAGTATGTATGATTATATATGATACCACTCTGCAGGAGACAGTTCCAATATTGTATCTCCACTCCTCCATTCATTATTGGCAAACATGTGCCTGGAACTCTGCAATGTTACAACTGGCATTTTGAAATACTGTGATTTCTTTTTCTTCTAGCCAGGACTTGTATTCCCCATAGGAATTATGTACTGCATTGTATTATTCAGTATATGTTCATGACTTCCACTACTATTAGGAAAAGCTATGCATATACATTCACAGTAGAATGTATCTCATAGTGGATTTCAGAAAATATAACACACTGTTGCTTTAAAACATGAGCTTAACAAAATAAGAACTGAAAGACAAGGAAGAGAAAAACAAGCAATTTAAAAACCATTCACCCAATACGTTTGGTCCTGTACCCACTCTTTCCATAGTAAATCATTAGTTACTTTTAAAAATTCAATACAAGATGGCATAAAGCTGGTAGAAATCAAACTTGAGCCTACCCTGCTTAGAAACCTGAAATATATTTCTAATTTTAAAGGAGCAATTGCCCTGAAACCTGAAAACTGATAGACACTTTCTAACTACTCACTAGGCCACAAAATACTTTTTAGAAGACCTTAACTGAGTGTGGCTATAATAGCACCACAATAGACTGTGGCAGAGATATAAAGGCTAACTGGTTCTTAGGCCACTATAGTGGGGCTTACAAGCTCTGATTGCAGTTGTGCCAAAATACTATCAGCAAGCCACTTTCCCTCTCAGAGGCTCTGTCTCCACAAACGTAAAATGAGGATACTGATAATGTTAACAGTTTAGAGATCTACAGTCAAAGAGCAAAAGGATCAATGCAGTTCATCAGTTCCATCAGCTGGATAAGGATGTAACCAGTGGAGCTGAGCCAGATCCCAGAGAAGCACAAGTTTCTAGTAAGGCCAAATATCACTGTAGATCACAAGGCATTTACAATCACCTCTTCTACTGTTTCTGTCTATTCAAAGGGTGTTTTTTCTCTTTTTAAGGGGTAGAATAAGATCTGATTTTCTAGAGGTACCTGCTCCCTCACCCTCATTAAGTAGAAGATGGGTTAAGAGACTACGTTCATCTGGTCCTCCACAGGCAGCTGCAAGCCACCTTTGGCTCTGCATGGAGCAGATGTGGTCTGGGCACTTCCAAAGGAAAATCTGAGAAACAGCGGCAAATGCTTCTGTCAGCTGGGTCTAAGAAACTTATGTCAGGGCCATTTCAGCTATAGCTAACATTGAGTCAGAGCAGAAGACCATGTGGACATCCTCGGAGCAGGGAGTGCTGGTGTCCTCCTGGCCTCAAGACCAGGATGTGCCACTGTAGCCAGCCTGTGCTGGCCTGCTCAGGGAAGAAAGCACTGGGCTTGGTCTGGGAGGTCTTGTGAACCAAAATCTCAAATCTGGAAGGTTTTTGGTTTTCCAGATGCTTCCAGTAGATTGATGAATAAAAATGATGAAAAATAGAGGAAATAAAAGGCTACAAAATGAAATCTAAAAGAAGTCTCTGACTCTGTACCTAGTGCCTGTCAGAAAAGGTCGTCTGTTATACAATGCAGGAGATGCAAAACAAGAGCATCTGTAACTATT